TGGCTGATCACTGATTATGATATAGTTAGAGTAGATAGTGCGATCAGCTTAACTGGATCTTTACAATTATTAGCAACAAACAGAAAATCATTGGTGAGTGTCCGATATGATATTTAATATGATATCTGATACGATACTCAATCATATACTAGTGATTATACGATACGATACCAACACGAAACCATTAGTGATGTGGAAAAAAAAAAAGCTGATCATATGGGCTTGAACAATACCGGCTGTGTAAGACAAGCTTTGGTCTTCCCAGCCTTCCTACCTTTTCTACAAGTCAATCAATGGGTATTGAAAAGTTACTTTGGTTACCATATCTCTATGTTTGTCCAACAAAAACACAACACTTTTAAAGATAATTCTGTGTGCACCAAATTTTAACGTTACTTTTATTATTTTTCCAATTAATGCCTATAATTCCATTAAACCAAAATCTATGGTTCCTCGATAATATTAGTAAGGTACTGGAATTTTTTTGGAAGACAAGTTTTGAACTCGGATAAAGATAGTCAGCACACCAAGTTTTCATTACAGCAAGTGTTATTTCTATATCTACACATGCAGTTTTATCTCACACGTAGAAAATCTATAATTAACTTGAAGTGTGATGTCCATTTTCAAATTCAGGTGGGAGGGCATGGGATGGGAAAGTCAGTAGGGCAAGATGGAGCTTTATATATAGGAAAAGGATACGGTACCGCGGCAGAATCAGTACCAAAATTTATAATTTTTTAAGGTAAAGTTATAATTTTTTAGGTGTAATTTACTATTTTAAAGATATGATCAATCATGAAAAATTGGAATCAATATTGAGATCATGAGTGTCTATGATCAATTAAACAATTATAACTTCGCAATTCAAAGTTGTAACTTTATTATAAAAATAGTAAACGACAGTACCAATACCCAAAAAAAAAATTCGGTACCGTAGACTTTTCCTATTATATAACAAACAAGGCATGACTCGTAAAGTTGCCAGTTTGCATTGGATGCCACCATTACCAACATTCTTGAAACAAATAAAGCAAAGACCAATGGAATCTGGGCAGCCTAAAATCCAACTTGCTGGGCATTTTCAATGCCACTTTTTGAAATGGTAGTCAGCTCATGAAAAGAAGAGTCCATAATGTTTAGAGCACAGTAGCTTTGTTCACTTAAACCAAAAGGTTGATACTAATGTGCTAACAAGATAATTGAAAATAGTACAGGACAGATTCATGGGACTTCCATAGTTTAAAATCTAATAATCAGAAGATGAACATTATGAAGCTAATACTTCCGGTGAAGTTATTTTCAGAAAGTACGATTACATTGAACAAAGTAGATTTATCGGAATGGTTAGGAATATACACATTGAGCAAAGTAGATTTTAGAAATACGCACATCATCTTTCAATAGTTTCAAAGTTATTATATCCGTAAATTATAAAGTAGAAGAAACATGACATCACTCAAGACAATGAAACTAAGACGATTAACTTGCATTAAAAATTGATGAATCATCAAAAAAAAACATAATAAATTATAAAAGAATGATGAATCCAANTGCATATGTTTGTACTACAGACAAAGAATCTGTCAAATGATAAGCTAACCTTCGAATGGTCATGGCACCCANATGTATGTACTACAGACAAAGAATCTGTCAAATGATAAGCTAACCTTCGAATGGTCATGGCACCCATCAATCTGTAGGGACGAAATCCAACGCATCAAGGCAGGAAATCCCGATATTAGCCACAGAGAAGCCTTTAGTGCTGCTGCAAAGAATGTATGATCAAACTAATATTTGGGGTTTTGTTATTTTTTTCCAATTTAGGATTTCATTTTTCTTACCCATTTCTTGATTTGTATGTTTACTTTGGGTATCTATTTAACAGTGGGCCCACTTTCCACACATTCAATTTGGTCTCATGCCTGATCAAACTGTCAAGAAGTCTAATTTCCGCCAACAGGTACACGGTTCAATCTTGTCTCTTACAAGTTATAACAGTACCCTTAACACAAAAGACCGAAAACTCCGAATGATAATTTAAATGATAATGAGTTGTACGTTTATACGTTTTAAATTTAAATGTTGATAATTTTTTGGAGCTAATTTATGAGAAATTTATCTCTTTTGAATAACTTATTTTTAGCCGAATCCGAAAAAATTTAATCGAAATGTATATAAACTGTCCTAAACTCCTTCACTGTTTAACAAAAATGAATAAAAAAGAACACAAAGACTGTAAGACACCTTCTTGGGATATTTCTATTTCATTTGGATTTGTTTTTTTGGTTTCTGTAGAATGGAGAAGATGTTCTCATGAAAGATGGGTTCTATGCTTCAGCAAATGTCGGTGTCTCTCCTTACTAAGAAGTGGATCTGTTGCTTTTTCATTTTCTCTTGTTAATTGTTAGGCCACTCTCTCTCTCTCTCTCTCTGAAGACTTGTAGCTATCTTAATTGGAGAAGACTTGTAGCTCTCTTAATTGCCTGGCTTCCGGGTTCACCGGTCCGAAAAAGGGTATTGAGGTCCAGATGCTAGTCAAGTCTAACCCGTTTAACATCTTCGTAGCTTATCAGTCAAATTAGATGTGTAGATACTTCTTGAGTATGCACTTCAATGACTTTTTAAGCTTACTTTGGCTTTGAAGACTTCAAAAACCTTCATCTCACATTTCTCCCCAATGTGGGTTTTAGCTGGAAGTTAACTGGTTTGCTTGGTGTTCTTAAAAAATATGTGCATATTGCAATTATAATCTACAGTATGTTTACATGTAATACATCCTATGAAATATATATATATGCAAACAAAATGCAGGTACGATATTATGCGGACAAAATGATAGTATCAAAATTTTGGAAAATAGTATATGAATATAAACAAGATGCGTTTACAATAAAATATATTATTTATTTCAACTATTATCATTACAATTTTCAGTAAATTCCTTAATAACAATATTAAAAATATGCAATTTTACCTTTAAAGATACATAGATTGTTGCATCATGGTATACCTACAAAGTGGACGGACTAATTCAAAAGCAAACAAAATTAAATTTGAGAGCAAAGAGTAAAGATTAAAAACTAAAAATTATATATTGCTCCCTGTCTCTATTTTCATATATCCAAAAAAATTTTAAAAATATATTAATTATTGGATACGAATAATGAATATCCGATACCTAAATTTCTCAACTATTGAATGAATATCATATCTGATATAATATTCGATATGCATACTGCATAGAATAAATCTATAGCCTCTAGGAAAATCTCACCACTAGTATATGAATCATCATTCATCTCACTGCAATTCTACTAATCCATTAATCTCATCATAATGCTACAAGACCATTGTTGTGATACACCATTTTGTCAGGACATCTTCTACCAATGAACTGAACCATTACTCCTCCTTCGCTTGGCAATCTTAGGACACTCATTTTGTTTTAGCATTTGAGGGAACATCTTCTTTCATTTTCAATTTCTTTCTGGTCGGAAACGTGGGCTGCTAGTGGGGCTGGCTGATCACTGATTATGATATAGTTAGAGTAGATAGTGCGATCAGCTTAACTGGATCTTTACAATTATTAGCAACAAACAGAAAATCATTGGTGAGTGTCCGATATGATATTTAATATGATATCTGATACGATACTCAATCATATACTAGTGATTATACGATACGATACCAACACGAAACCATTAGTGATGTGGAAAAAAAAAAAGCTGATCATATGGGCTTGAACAATACCCGGCTGTGTAAGACAAGCTTTGGTCTTCCCAGCCTTCCTACCTTTTCTACAAGTCAATCAATGGGTATTGAAAAGTTACTTTGGTTACCATATCTCTATGTTTGTCCAACAAAAACACAACACTTTTAAAGATAATTCTGTGTGCACCAAATTTTAACGTTACTTTTATTATTTTTCCAATTAATGCCTATAATTCCATTAAACCAAAATCTATGGTTCCTCGATAATATTAGTAAGGTACTGGAATTTTTTTGGAAGACAAGTTTTGAACTCGGATAAAGATAGTCAGCACACCAAGTTTTCATTACAGCAAGTGTTATTTCTATATCTACACATGCAGTTTTATCTCACACGTAGAAAATCTATAATTAACTTGAAGTGTGATGTCCATTTTCAAATTCAGGTGGGAGGGCATGGGATGGGAAAGTCAGTAGGGCAAGATGGAGCTTTATATATAGGAAAAGGATACGGTACCGCGGCAGAATCAGTACCAAAATTTATAATTTTTTAAGGTAAAGTTATAATTTTTTAGGTGTAATTTACTATTTTAAAGATATGATCAATCATGAAAAATTGGAATCAATATTGAGATCATGAGTGTCTATGATCAATTAAACAATTATAACTTCGCAATTCAAAGTTGTAACTTTATTATAAAAATAGTAAACGACAGTACCAATACCCAAAAAAAAAATTCGGTACCGTAGACTTTTCCTATTATATAACAAACAAGGCATGACTCGTAAAGTTGCCAGTTTGCATTGGATGCCACCATTACCAACATTCTTGAAACAAATAAAGCAAAGACCAATGGAATCTGGGCAGCCTAAAATCCAACTTGCTGGGCATTTTCAATGCCACTTTTTGAAATGGTAGTCAGCTCATGAAAAGAAGAGTCCATAATGTTTAGAGCACAGTAGCTTTGTTCACTTAAACCAAAAGGTTGATACTAATGTGCTAACAAGATAATTGAAAATAGTACAGGACAGATTCATGGGACTTCCATAGTTTAAAATCTAATAATCAGAAGATGAACATTATGAAGCTAATACTTCCGGTGAAGTTATTTTCAGAAAGTACGATTACATTGAACAAAGTAGATTTATCGGAATGGTTAGGAATATACACATTGAGCAAAGTAGATTTTAGAAATACGCACATCATCTTTCAATAGTTTCAAAGTTATTATATCCGTAAATTATAAAGTAGAAGAAACATGACATCACTCAAGACAATGAAACTAAGACGATTAACTTGCATTAAAAATTGATGAATCATCAAAAAAAAACATAATAAATTATAAAAGAATGATGAATCCAAATAAATTAATGAAGGATCCCCCAAGGAGCAATATTACGATGAGATAGAGCTCACATGTCAAAGAACATCAAAGATCATATCAACAAGACTAGAATTACACAGCCCAAACACTCTCGAGTCTCGACCACAAACTTCACTAAACAAGCCAGGCTCCAGCATGCAACATGGAGGACTCATCACAGTAACATCAAACTATATATTATCATCAACAGAGTAAAGAACAGCTTTGATGCATTACCCATGATTGGTGTTGCCAAAGAAATGTCTTGTGGCCTGAAAATAAATAGCCAATGTAAAATCAAAATAAGTCCTCGTGCATGACTAAAGGCAGACAATACTCAACAGTGACGGTATAATACATACTTTTGCATTTTGCTGAGGGCACCACAAAACAGGGCATTATCTGGTACAGGCAACTCTGTTTTGTTAGTAGCCTCTGGATTAATAACCCTCACGTATGTTTCTTGACCGAGATACCATGAGTCAAGATTTTCTGCTCTCAGATTCCAAACTCCAACATTGTCGAGTGAGATTAAGATTGCAGTCCATGCCCCAGGAAACACCTTTTGAAAGCACGGGAAAAATGAGGCCATACTTGTTTTACAAGAGTTGCATAAGAATCTCTTGAGCAGATACTTAAGGCTTTTAGTTTGGGGAAAGAGTAAAGTAGTTCCCATCATCAAACCAACAAACATAAGAGGGATTTTACGCAGTTTAAAAACTTATCCTCCAAATGAGCGCATGAAGTTAATCCTTGAACATACTCAATGCAATCAAACCCAACTGTTTTAAAGCCGTTATAAGAGGAAATTCACAAAGTGAGCCCTCAGAAAATATTGCAGAAAAATTCAAAGGTCCTCTCCAACCTTTTAGCTAGCATTAAATTCAAAGTAATGCTCAAATGACAAATTGCAAGATATTCAACGTTGAATAGGAAACCTTGAGCTAAAAACATGAGATAATCAAGGCTTTAAAAGGAAACAGGTATGACTAAGAGCACAATTTCCAAAACAGTACCTGTGCTGTGGTGCGAGCAATTCCATCCCATTTATTATATGTGCCCCTACTGTTCTCTGTCCACTCACCGTAATCCATCCTGCAATCATTTTGTCATAGTGAATAGTGGTGATAGCAAGTGAGCAGGAAACAAATACTTAAGCAGATATGTAAATGTTGTTATGTCTAGAAAGAAGCTTTGTCCTACCCAACCATAAAAAAGGCATATCCGCTCATGTGATACGTATGCATCTTCGTGTCATTGTTCTGCAGTATCACTTCCATAAATCCCTTGTATGTGCCATTAATTACTGATGTTTCCATCCGGGGTGCTCCTGCTAGTGGTGTATTGGGGAAATCAAGCTTATACACTCCATTCACTTTGAATTGGTCAGCAAGCCTGATTGGTGTATTGGGATTGACAAATGATATCCCACTGAGTGTTGTTCGTCGTTTCCCATTAATCATCTCTGGTGCCTTGTTTTTCAACACATATACCTCAGTTACATTGATTGAGCCATACCTAAAAGAACCTTGTGGGTTTGGGCGAGCACCACTGGCAGACACATTCCACCTGCAGAGAACCAACAGCAAATTTTAGTAGAGAGGAAGTTTCTAATATTCTGAAAAGATCATGTGCTAAGCAAAATTCATTTTAAACATGTTATACTCAGAAATTTCATAAAAAAATCGACAACAAAATCTCAAGTAATTGCAACATATCCTAACAGTTATTCCTGAATGACCTTTTTCTCAAATATTTTATCTTCCAATCAATCTTGCCTAGTCCCTGAAGTTACATAAGTTCTTGGCCAACAGTGTTGCCCATATTTAATCAGCCTTTCCATCACCGCCATTTTCCAACTGCTCATGATATGTTCATGATTCACTAGTAATTGAAGTAACTCAATCACTTATAATTTCCAGATCCAAGAAATGCTCCCTGATTTTGTTATCATACTTGAAAGGAAAGGTGTCCTTATAATAAAAGATGGAGAAAACTAAAAAAATATTAAGAAATGGTTTCACAGTACTAATGTGCCAATCAACCAAGCCACATTGTTAACAGACCTGATGGACCTCGCTTGGTTCATTGAGAAGGTTTTGTCATATTGATCATTTGGTGGGTCTGGAAGGGGACCAGATGCCTTTCCTTTCGAATTCGAATAGTGCAAGATGGCAACACCAGTAACTCTTTGCCAAAGTGACTCATTCACAAACCTAGGACTTGCCACAATGTAGTAATCACTGCTCGCATTCTGATCCATCGTTACCAGGAAGGAGTATGATTGTCCAACATGGATGTCTAAGCTAGTATAATTCTGCTGCACTGTATATGATCCCTCCGTTTCTGCCAAAAGCAGGTTATGGTTTTGTATTCTGAAGTTCAAACTGGTTGATATCCCAACATTGCTCACACGAATACGGTAAGTTTTGCCTGGCCAACATTTCAACATTATAATTCAAAGTAAGCACAAAATCCAAAGAATTTAGCATACATACATTAATATGTGCCGAATAAAAGTTCCAGTTACAGATCTTTTATAGCTGTTCATTACCAAGCAGTGCAATGCCATGTGTCAATGTGCACATGGGTGTACTACCCCTCAGAAAACTATGTCATTCCTTTTCTTTCTTTCTGAAGAGTAGAGAGTAATGAACAACAGAAATTTGCTTACAGCTAATGCATAAGAGAGCCAATTACAGCATGCAGAAAGACTTGTCTTCAATGTCAAATCTCAACCAACCAATGTTCAGGATTACTTCCATTCTACATAGTTCACTTCAAATCACATAAGAATACTTGAAGAAGCCCAAAAATAGTGGAATAGCAGTTCCCCTATACTACAGGCAAACGACAATTTCTTACAATATTGTGCATTGGATTCGTAGCTCATTTACATACTCCACTAAATATAGATAGACCCGGATAAACACTTATTACCATAAGATCTAGTCCTCAGCCCAAAAGTAACAAGAAAAAATACAACTAATTTAACAGGTGGAAAAGCTATATGCAAGTATGTTGCTTCAACAGCAAGTGTGACATGAAATGGATCACTCCAACAAGGTGTTGCATAAAGTTAGTATAAATTCTCCTCTAACAATGTATTTCATATTACTCACCTGGGTACACTTCAATTGTTTCATAGTCAATTCCGTCGGGGACAAGAGTAGCGTTATATTTATAAGGGCCTTTCCCATTAATAAGAACACCATCAGGCATCCCAAGATCCTTACCAGCATTAAGGGTCTTCCTAAGAGCCTATAACCCCAACAAGAAAACCAATTAATGGATATAATATATTTTGTTCCAAAAAAAGATAAACTTCAAAAATTCATGAAAAACTAACCGTGTGGTTCTGAGTATACCAATCACCAATCAAAACTGTAATATCACCGTATGGGGTATCGAAAGGAATTGGAATTATGTCCCTATTATTAATAATAAAGCCACCATAACCGCCAGACGCCCTTTGAAAGTTGATCGAAGGGAAATAAAAGAAGCTCCCAATTTGGTCCTTGACTTGAAACTGGTAAGTCCAATTCCACTTTGGAGGAATTGGACAATTTGTACCAAGCACCCCATCCTGCCAAGAACTCCTCCTCTGTTGAATACCAGACCTGTGAAATTGCAATTCTTTAGGGACAATTCAAAAGACCACATTCTCCAATCAAGTACCAATAAGATTGCTGTAAATCATACCAATGCATGAGAAGCTCTTCGTCTAATTTGTTCCGTACATTGATAACAACGTTGTTGTTAGTAGTCGAATTAATTGTAGGCCCTGGAAAATGGCCATTGATAGCAATAACCTACAATGCAAAGCAATGCAGCTCAAAAACTTAAAACCCTAGAAAGTTCATTATCACCACCTCAAACTTCATTATGCCATAGATACAAAAACAGAACACTAGCTCAGTGAAAAAAAATATTTAGCACATTAGCAGATCTGATGGCTAAAGACCCAAAATTTCAAAAATCCAAAACCAACCCAATGGTTATTAATGAAAACTCTGTAAACCCATGTGAAAAAATCTACAGCATTTGTATCCCAAAACATATCTACAGATTAGAGTAGAGAGAGAGAAAGAGATCAAGAAAAGACCTGTTGGGGGACACCAAGAGGAGAAGCAGTAATGTACGAAACTTCAAAGTCGTAGTTAACAAATGGATCTCCAGCAACGCACAAGTTGATCAACAAAGCAATGTAGAAGAAGAAAACCGGAAGAAAACTACAAGACCCCATGTATTCGACTTTTGGGTATAGTTCAAATCCAAAGAACCAACTTTCCTTGATTTTTCTGTGTTTACATTATCAGAAAGAAAGAAAGGAGAAGAAGAAGCACGAAAGAGCAGAGGATGAGAGAGAAAAACGGTGTCTGAGTGTCTGTGTGTAGGAGAGAGAGTGAACGGATTAATTACTCTTTGAGGCGTTATAGTTTTAGTTTAGGAAAGTTAAAGAATAGAGAGACGGGGACAGTGTGAACACAACTGTTGATTTGGTTAACGTGGGGGGGGTATTGATCTTTAAGCTTTTGTCGGTCTTTGCTGCAAGTGATGATAGAGAAATGGTGTTATAGTGCAGAGACAGACATAAGGATTTTGGGATAAAATTTGTCTCATTTTAATTTTTAATATTTAAATTATATTATTTTAGTTGTTAAAGTATTGAATAAATTTTTATACGATCTCTCAAACAAATAATATTCATGTTACTAAAGATTTTTATTATAAATTTATCATGTAATACCTAAATACAACTCTTGATCAATTTTTTATCCAAATTTTAGTCAAAAATCTACTCAAATTACACAATTTTAATCATGAATTATCCAAAATTTAGTTAAGAGTTATTCATATTACATATTTTTTTATCAACAACCATCCAAATTTTGGTCAACAACTACTCAAATTATTTTTTATCCATATTTAGATATCACATTACAAGTTTATGATAAAAAAAAACTATTAGCAATTTAAATGTTATTTACTTGAAAGACCATATAAAAATATATTAAATATTTCAAGATTTAAAATGATGCAATTAAAATATTAAGGATTAAATGAGACAAACGCTATATTTTGAAGACTTCCAATACAATTAAACCAAGAATTTTTTCTTAATCTTTTGGACCGTTTATTTAGGGAGAAAATAGTAAAAAATATTTTAAAAAATATATGTAAAATTTTTATATATTTGATTAGTCTGAAATAGAAAATAATAATAATATTTTTTCAGGGTCCATTTGGTGAAAAAAAAAAAGTAAAAAAGTAAAAATGCTGGGAAGTAAAGTTAAAAAAAAAATAAAAGAAAATATATTCTCATATGTATTTGGTTAGAAAGAAAAACTTGAAAAACAATTCTTTCTATTACTAAAAAAAGGTAGCTTGTAACTTAATCTTGGGACAAGCACTAAAACGAAAGTCTTTAGATTAAATTATATAGTTAATTAAATTCATATAAAAAAATTTTATAGTTCATAATTATTTTTTTATTTTTTATTTTTTATAAAAAAATTGATTAATTGTGAAAAAATTTAAACGCATAAGAAAAAATTATTTTCTTTTCACAACTCCATATGTTTTTTTGTTTCTTTGTTTTTTTAATGTAAACCGGTGGATGTGTATGAGTATTAAAGAAAAATCCATGCATAATTGGACTTCACTTAATATCACTGGAATATTTTCTCATAAATAAGCTACCCTTTTTGAAACCACGTTATTCCAGCTGTCATATCACAAAAGGGACCCACACGGCTGGTGATTTATTCACCATTTACGGGCATGGGTGGCCTGACAAACTACGGTCCTAGATCTTGTATCGGTTTACTGGTCATGACTCGTGTTTAAATATAAAATTTGGTCATGACTCGTGTTTAAATATAAAATTTGAGCGTTTAAAATATTAATTTTATTATATTAATTTTTAAAAAAAATATTAATTATAAATTAATTAAATATTAAATAATTAAATATATAATAAAAATAACTGATATGATGTTTTTAAGGAAAAATTAAATAATTAAACATATGATAGAAATAAATGATATGATTTGACATATGAGTCTGACAAAGGGATAATAAGTGAGATAAGTGATTGGTGATGATTTTGAGAAAAAAATATGACTGGAATAAAATTCAAACACATTTTTATTTTATTATATAAATTTATGATTATTAATTTTAAAAATAAAAAATATAAAATACTTTACACATTTCATATTCTCATTAATATAAAATAGAACATACAGTACCAAAAAATAGGACCGTAGTTTGACCTTGGAAGATCAAATCGAAGTGGGAAAAGAGGTGGCTATCCTAAAGCCACCCACATGGAAAAAGTGGGCTGAATCAACCATGATATAACGGTCATATTCGTACTGGATAAAGGTAGTTGCCATCGTACAAGTTTCCGTTACCTCACTCATACCTCCCCATGTGGAAGGAAGGACCTAAATTTTTAGAATTTAACTAATATTAACATTTTTTTTCTCACATTTATCTATATCTATATAATAAAATAGGATAGAAGTTGAATTTTATCATCATTATATTTTTCTTTTTAAAACCATCTCATCCAACTCAACCCAACCATCAAATCAAACTGACAAGCAACGGCTACCTGGCAACACACAAAACAACGACTCCTTGTCCCCTCTCCCTCTTTCTCTCTCTCTTTACTCTCATCTCAGTCTCTTGTCTCTCGGTCTCTTCACTTACTTCTCCAAANTCACAAGCAACGGCTACCTGGCAACACACAAAACAACGACTCCTTGTCCCCTCTCCCTCTTTCTCTCCCTCTTTACTCTCATCTCAGTCTCTTGTCTCTCGGTCTCTTCACTTACTTCTCCAAANGGGATAATAAGTGAGATAAGTGATTGGTGATGATTTTGAGAAAAAAATATGACTGGAATAAAATTCAAACACATTTTTATTTTATTATATAAATTTATGATTATTAATTTTAANGAGATAATAAGTGAGATAAGTGATTGGTGATGATTTTGAGAAAAAAATATGACTGGGATAAAATTCAAACACATTTTTATTTTATTATATAAATTTATGATTATTAATTTTAAAAATAAAAAATATAAAATACTTTACACATTTCATATTCTCATTAATATAAAATAGAACATACAGTACCAAAAAATAGGACCGTAGTTTGACCTTGGAAGATCAAATCGAAGTGGGAAAAGAGGTGGCTATCCTAAAGCCACCCACATGGAAAAAGTGGGCTGAATCAACCATGATATAACGGTCATATTCGTACTGGATAAAGGTAGTTGCCATCGTACAAGTTTCCGTTACCTCACTCATACCTCCCCATGTGGAAGGAAGGACCTAAATTTTTAGAATTTAACTAATATTAACATTTTTTTTCTCACATTTATCTATATCTATATAATAAAATAGGATAGAAGTTGAATTTTATCATCATTATATTTTTCTTTTTAAAACCATCTCATCCAACTCAACCCAACCATCAAATCAAACTGACAAGCAACGGCTACCTGGCAACACACAAAACAACGACTCCTTGTCCCCTCTCCCTCTTTCTCTCTCTCTTTACTCTCATCTCAGTCTCTTGTCTCTCGGTCTCTTCACTTACTTCTCCAAATTCATGCAGACCAGCGGCAAGTCCCCAAATTCACGCCGGACAAGCAGCAAATGGCGTAAACACCATCCCTTCCTCTCCCCTCTTTTTGTTTCTCCCTCCCTTCAATCACCACTTCCTCTCTCTCTCTCGTGAGCATCAGCGCCCTCCCCAACAGCACTCAGCCAACAACGCCCAGCCCCAGGCTCTCCAAATATCTCTTTCNAAAAATAAAAAATATAAAATACTTTACACATTTCATATTCTCATTAATATAAAATAGAACATACAGTACCAAAAAATAGGACCGTAGTTTGACCTTGGAAGATCAAATCGAAGTGGGAAAAGAGGTGGCTATCCTAAAGCCACCCACATGGAAAAAGTGGGCTGAATCAACCATGATATAACGGTCATATTCGTACTGGATAAAGGTAGTTGCCATCGTACAAGTTTCCGTTACCTCACTCATACCTCCCCATGTGGAAGGAAGGACCTAAATTATTTTTAGGAAAACTTAGATTTCAGTTACTTTTATGAATTTATTTGGTGATAAATTTATCAACTAAATTTATTTAATATTATATTTATTTTGATTTTTATTATTTAAAATACCTCAAATAGTTGTGTTTAATTGAATCAAATTTAAAAATTAATAACTCCTAAATTTTTAGAATTTAACTAATATTAACATTTTTTTTCTCACATTTATCTATATCTATATAATAAAATAGGATAGAAGTTGAATTTTATCATCATTATATTTTTCTTTTTAAAACCATCTCATCCAACTCAACCCAACCATCAAATCAAACTCACAAGCAACGGCTACCTGGCAACACACAAAACAACGACTCCTTGTCCCCTCTCCCTCTTTCTCTCCCTCTTTACTCTCATCTCAGTCTCTTGTCTCTCGGTCTCTTCACTTACTTCTCCAAATTCATGCAGACCAGCGGCAAGTCCCCAAATTCACGCCGGACAAGCAGCAAATCGCGTAAACACCATCCCTTCCTCTCCCCTCTTTTTGTTTCTCCCTCCCTTCAATCACCACTTCCTCTCTCTCTCTCGTGAGCATCAGCGCCCTCCCCAACAGCACTCAGCCAACAACGCCCAGCCCCAGGCTCTCCAAATATCTCTTTCTCTCCTTCTCTCTTCTCACACTCAAACTCCATCTATCACACCCACACACAATACACAAACCCAATCACCCCACCCCCATCCACAACCCTCCTCTCCCTATCTCTCTCTCTCATGCTCAAAAACGATGGCCTATAAATTGTTTGCCAAAATTTCTCAAAAGATCTTTACTTTGATAATGATAATTATTGAGTTTTTTTATAGGGTATGTGATTTTATTTTAAAGTCATTGTTTATAGAGTGGTTTGATTTGGATTAAGGTTGTTTGTTAATTATTTTTTTGATAGAAATTTGATTTCGAATTACTAATTATGTTGTTTCGGTTTAAAGTTGCATTTTGATCTTTAGTGCTGATTTGGTTGTTTATGGAATTGCAGCCATAAAGGATCATTGATGTTCCATACCTAATAGTTAGTCATTCAATTGAGTTTCTTTCATATTGCTCTTCCTATATATTGAACAGGAACTAAACTGTCGATTTTTTTGTTGGAGTCCATTTATTCGAGCATTGAGTGGATTTCAGGTATTTTTTTACTTCAAAGAAAACATCTATATTTTGTTATTTTTTTTTAGTTTCCTAGTTTCCCCCTTTTTATTCTGGACTTTTGTTGATTATTAATACTTAGGTGGTTTTGTTTTGATAGAATTATTGTCTGAATTTACATATTAAATTTGTTTCATGGCTCTGAGTTTTCTATTATGTTTCTTCTTCTTTGATTATTTATTTTGGTTCTTAACTATTTGTGTAATAGTGTAGAGTTTCCCCCTCTTTTGCGCAAACA